ATCCACGCCTATAACTCTACGATTTCTTATAAAAAATATTTTAAAAAATCCACGCCTATAACTCTACGATTTCTTATAAAAAATATTTTAAAAAATCCACGCCTATAACTCTACGATTTCTTATAAAAAATATTTTAAAAAATCCACGCCTATAACTCTACGATTTCTTATAAAAAATATTTTAAAAAATCCACGCCTATAACTCTACGATTTCTTATAAAAAATATTTTAAAAAATCCACGCCTATAACTCTACGATTTCTTATAAAAAATATTTTAAAAAATCCACGCCTATAACTCTACGATTTCTTATAAAAAATATTTTAAAAAATCCACGCCTATAACTCTACGATTTCTTATAAAAAATATTTTAAAAAATCCACGCCTATAACTCTACGATTTCTATAACTCTACGATTTCTTATAAAAAATATTTTAAAAAATCCACGCCTATAACTCTACGATTTCTTATAAAAAATATTTTAAAAAATCCACGCCTATAACTCTACGATTTCTTATAAAAAATATTTTAAAAAATCCACGCCTATAACTCTACGATTTCTTATAAAAAATATTTTAAAAAATCCACGCCTATAACTCTACGATTTCTTATAAAAAATATTTTAAAAAATCCACGCCTATAACTCTACGATTTCTTATAAAAAATATTTTAAAAAATCCACGCCTATAACTCTACGATTTCTTATAAAAAATATTTAAAAAAATCCACGCCTATAACTCTACGATTTCTTATAAAAAATATTTAAAAAAATCCACGCCTATAACTCTACGATTTCTTATAAAAAATATTTTAAAAAATCCACGCTTATAACTCTACGATTTCTTATAAAAAATATTTTAAAAAATCCACGCCTATAACTCTACGATTTCTTATAAAAAATATTTTAAAAAATCCACGCCTATAACTCTACGATTTCTTATAAAAAATATTTTAAAAAATCCACGCCTATAACTCTACGATTTCTTATAAAAAATATTTTAAAAAATCCACGCCTATAACTCTACGATTTCTTATAAAAAATATTTTAAAAAATCCACGCCTATAACTCTACGATTTCTTATAAAAAATATTTTAAAAAAATCCACGCCTATAACTCTACGATTTCTTAAAAAAAATCCACGCCTATAACTCTACGATTTCTTATAAAAAATATTTTAAAAAAATCCACGCCTATAACTCTACGATTTCTTATAAAAAATATTTTAAAAAATCCACGCCTATAACTCTACGATTTCTTATAAAAAATATTTTAAAAAATCCACGCCTATAACTCTACGATTTCTTATAAAAATATTTTAAAAAATCCACGCCTATAACTCTACGATTTCTTATAAAAAATATTTTAAAAAATCCACGCCTATAACTCTACGATTTCTTATAAAAAATATTTTAAAAAATCCACGCCTATAACTCTACGATTTCTTATAAAAAATATTTTAAAAAATCCACGCCTATAACTCTACGATTTCTTATAAAAAATATTTTAAAAAATCCACGCCTATAACTCTACGATTCCTATAGCTCTATGGTTTCTTATAAAAAATATTTTAAAAAATCCACGCCTATAGCTTAGAATATTTTCAGTAATGGCAACCCTTATCTAAAGTCTGCTACTGATAGGACAATGTTAATATATTGATAAGAATTCTGCGACTTTCGAAAAATATATTATTTGCATCTTTCAATCTCAGTTTTGAATTTAAACAATATGAACATCCCAAGATCACTTGCAGTATTTATATTTCTAATAATAGGAATTATAAATTTTACAAGGGCCGTACCGCAATGGTACAACGGCACCGATGGAAAACGCTATTTAATTGAAGGCGAACAGAAAGTAAGGATTGGAATAATGAAGTAATATATATGTATTTAAATAAGGTGGTCATTTTGATTACAGTATAATTGGTTCCAAGCCTTTCATGAGTGTGCCCGTCGTAATCTACAATTGGTGGAAATAGATTCTGACCATAAAAATAATCAAATAATTTCCGTACTGAAACCCATTTTTGGTAAGTCCAACGATGCGTAAGAAAAGGAGATCTGAATTATTTGTATATGTAATTGCTTTCCAGGAAACTCCCACAATTTGTGGATAGGTGCCATAGACGAATATAATGGTGAAAAAAATTATAATAGACCCTTCTACTGGCATTCATCCGGCAAACGTATGACATTCTCCTATTGGTCCGATAGTAATCCCGATAATGATGCACACTCTGAGCATTGTGTCCATATGTGGGAATCGAAACCGAACTATAGATGGAATGATCATAAATGTGATTGGCCACGTTTAGGTTATATTTGTGAAGATCATCATCTGCAGACCGAATGCACTGAGTGTTCCGAGGAAAAGATACAAAAAATCACACGTGCAGCTGGTGCAGTTCTAGAGGAATATCAAACACAACAGGAGGCACAAATTGAAAGTCTGCAAAAGACATTGGAAAAATTGGAGCATGAAGAATTGCGTTTCAAGGAAAATTTAAATTCTTTGCTAACGAAAATTGAATTGGAAACCAGTAAATTATTGGTAACCTACAGGGTACAAATGAATTCCATTCTAGATGAGAGAAGTGAGACTCTGCACAGTGTAAATCTGGGACTGCGCAGCGATATCGAAATGTTGACCAAGAAATTTAGTCGTAAATTAGAAAATGTTAAAACAGATTATAGACATATTTTAAAGGCATAATCATAATTTGAATTCCTTATATATAAAAATGTGTACAGCTATTAAATAAATAATTAATATTGGAGCTATAGACGTGGATTTTTAAAATATTTTTATAAGAAATAGCAGAGCTATATGCGTGGATTTTTTAAAATATTTTCTATAAGAAATAGCAGTGCTATAGGCGTGGATTTTTTAAATATTTTTTTTTTTAAGAAATAATAGAGCAATAGGTGTGGATTTTTTAAATATTTTTTATAAGAAATAATAGAGCTATAGGCGTGGATTTTTTTAAATATTTTTTTATAAGGAATAATAGAGCTATAGGCGTGGATTTTTGAAATGTTTTTTTATAAGGAATAATAGAGCTATAGGCGTGGAGTTTTTAAAGATTTTTTAAAATATTCTTTATAAGAAATAGCAGAGCTATAGGCGTGGAGTTTTTAAAGATTTTTTAAAATATTCTTTATAAGAAATAGCAGAGCTATAGGCGTGGATTTTTTAAAATACTTTTTTTAAGAAATAGCAGAGCTATAGGCGTGGATTTTTTAAAATACTGTTTTTAAGAAATAGCAGAGATATAGGCGTGGATTTTTTAAAATACTGTTTTTAAGAAATAGCAGAGATATAGGCGTGGATTTTTTAAAATATTTTTTATAACAAACCGTAGAGCTATAGGCGTGGATTTTTTAAAATATTTTTTATAAGAAACCGTAGAGCTATAAGCGTGGATTTTTTAAAATATTTTTTATAAGAAATCGTTGAGTTATAGGCGTGGATTTTTTTAAATATTTTTTATAAGAAACCGTAGAGCTATAGGCGTGGATTTTTTTAAATATTTTTTATAAGAAACCGTAGAGCTATAGGCGTGAATTTTTTAAAATATTTTTTATAAGAAACCGTAGAGCTATAGGCGTGGATTTTTGGAAATAATTTTTATAAGAAACCGTAGTGCTATAGGCATGGATTTTTTAAAATATTTTTTATAAGAAACCGTACAGCTATAGGCGTGGATTTTTTAAAATATTTTTTATAAGAAACCGTACAGTTATAGGCGTGGATTTTTTAAAATATTTTTTATAAGAAACCGTACAGCTATAGGCGTGGATTTTTTAAAATATTTTTATAAGAAACCGTACAGCTATAGGCGTGGATTTTTTAAAATATTTTTTATAAGAAACCGTACAGCTATAGGCGTGGATTTTTTAAAATATTTTTTATAAGAAACCGTACAGCTATAGGCGTGGATTTTTTAAAATATTTATACCCTACACAACTATGTTGTCAGGGTATTATAGCTTTGTGCAGCCCCAAAAGTTTGTAACGCCGCGAAATATTGGTCCTAGACCCACCTTTAAGTATACCGATCGTCATATCTCGACTAGCCGTCTGTCCATTATAATTTGTAAACACGATACAGGCCACAGTTATGGACCAATCTTCACGAAATTTGGCATGTAGGATGGTTTCTGGCCAATGAAGACCCCTATTGTTTTTGGAAAAGATCAGTTAATATTTAGGGGATGAAATGGACCAAAAACTTTATTTTTGTCGGTTTTTCTGGTCGCTCCAGAGGCCGCAATTATGGCCCAAACACCGCGAATTTTTGCATAGAGAACGGGATCGGACCAAAGAATAAGCATGCCTGTTTTGATAAAGCTCGGTCAATATTTAGCGGGTGAAATGGACCCGAACATTTGTGTGAAAAATGACAAAATTTGTATTCTATTGCGTATATATTTACCACTGAAGGACATAGACCCGAGAAGTTGATAGTATATCCAAGAGGAGTGGTTGACCTTTAAATTGTTACCAATTATATGGTCGTAGGTACTCGGATGCGGGAGTTACACTTAAATATTTACAGGTGCTTACGTATTCATATATTATTTAGTAACCTATTACCACACTGGAGGGCGGAAATATAGCGCTGATCGCTTTGAAATGTTCCATGAGGTTCCAGTTATGGTCAAGGACAACGCCTAAAATGTTAGGTGATGATCAGATAATAATTTTTCGGATGAAGTGGACCGAAAACTTAATTATTTGTACTTTTCGAGTCGAAAGCCGAACATCACAACACAACCCACTGTGAAGGGAATCTGGACAAGTAATTAGAGGGGCTGTACTGATTATTAGTAATATTAGCCAGTCAAAAGTGTGCAAATATCGCGAAATATTGCCACATCTCAGAATATAAAACCACAGAAAGTTAGATTTTCATGGAAGTTGTGTAGGGTATCGTATGGTCGGCCCCGTCCGACTATACAGCTATAGGCGTGGATTTTTTAAAATATTTTTTATACGAAACCGTACAGCTATAGGCGTGGTTTTTTTTAAAATATTTTTTATAAGAAACCGTACAGCTATAGGCGTGGATTTTTTTAAAATATTTTTTATACGAAACCGTACAGCTATAGGCGTGGTTTTTTTTAAAATATTTTTTATAAGAAACCGTACAGCTATAGGCGTGGATTTTTTAAAATATTTTTTATAAGAAACCGTACAGCTATAGGCGTGGATTTTTTAAAATATTTTTTATAAGAAACCGTAGAGCTATAGGCGTGGATTTTTTTAAAATATTTTTTATAAGAAACCGTAGAGATATAGGCGTGGATTTTTTAAAATATTTTTTATAAGAAATAGTAGAGATATAGGCGTGGATTTTTTTAAATATTTTTTATAAGAAATCGTAGAGTTATAGGCGTGGATTTTTTAAATATTTTTTATAAGAAATCGTAGAGTTATAGGCGTGGATTTTTTTAAATATTTTTTATAAGAAATAGTAGATATATAGGCGTGTATTTTTTTAAATATTTTTTATAAGAAATAGTAGAGATATAGGCGTGGATTTTTGTTTAATGTTTTTTTAGAATTTTTTAAAGAATATATTTTCAAATAAATATATAGATATAGGCGTGGATTTTTTTTTAATATTTTTGATAAGACATAGTAGAGATATCGGCGTGGTTTTTTTTAATATTTTTTATAATTTTTTAAAGAATATATTTTCAAATAAATATTTAAAAATCAGTGTATGTCTGCTATAGGTCAACGAAACGTTACACGTTCTGCAATGTCTGCAATAATATGTCTTTTTCTGTCTGTGGGATAATTCCTCATAATTCGATGACCAATAACTGCAAACGATGAACAAACTAAAGGTGTTGAAGTTAGCATAAATAATGACCATCTCAAGGGTATATATATTGGTAGCAAAAACTAAAAAATGCAATAGTTAAGAAATTTATTAATTAAAAAATTAGTATGACAAAAATTTATTGTTTCTTGGCATTGCTACTTATTGAGGTGGTAATTGCTGAGCCGCAGTGGTATAATAGCTCGGATGGCCGTCAATATCTGATCGAGAGTGCTGCCAAAGTAATTTGTTGACATAAAATAATTTTTTAATAATTTCAATATTTATCAAACATTTGGATTTAGTACAATTGGTTTAGGGCAAATCATGAATGTTCGCGCAGAAATCTACAATTGGTGGAAATTCAATCGGAATCAAAGAATCAGGCATTGGTGCAGTTATTGAAAAACATATTTGGTAGGTAATGGAAAATGCCTTTGTATTTCTATCCTCCATAAAAAAATTGTTTTTTTCCTCCAGGCAAATCAACCAGTCTCTGGCTTGGTGGCAATGATCAATTCAATACGGAAATCAGCACCAATCGTCCCTTCTATTGGTCTGCCTCTGGTAAAACTATGACCTATAGCTATTGGTATCCCGGAGAACCGAACAATGAACGCAACCAAGAAAATTGTGTACAGACCTTTGCCTATAGTCCCGAATTCCAATGGAATGATGTGTCGTGTAGCAATCAATATGGTTTCATATGCGAACATCAGCGATCACATAATAAATATTCGGCAACATTGCAAGAGAAACGCCAGCACGTTGTAAAGGCTATGAAGAAATTTTCCGATTTCATGCAACATGAAAAAGAGAAAATGTTGGATGTGGTACATCGTACAAGGAATCTGATAGCAAAAAATAACAATGAAGTAGAACATTTTTTGGAAGCATTGGAAAATAAAGCGACGCATTCAGCCAGTAGCGATGAAAAGGATAATAAACAAGAAATAACACGATTATCGTCCAATATAAATGATCACATCAACGAATTGTATGAAAAGCTAGAGAATTCGACACCGAGAATTTCGAATAGATTGTCACAAGAATTAACTGAGTTGGAGCAGAAAATTGAAGATGTCCTAAAAAATGTTAATTTGTAATTGTGTTTGAAAAATATAGAAATTGGAAAATATGATTGTCAGAAAGAGAATGTTTAACAAGTGAAAGTGATTATTTACTGGTATCAGGTTCCTTCTGCAGCTATTTTAGTTTGTATTAACTTCGGGTTTACAATTCGACAAAGATCATATCGACGCCTCCGAACCATAGTATGCTAAGCCGACTTAGCATGTTTTAAAGTTTTTTTACGTTTTTAGATACTACGGTCCTTAAGTTAAATTTACTGAAATTTTGGTAATCATCGGCCAATCCAAACCAAAGTTATAAGCAAAAATGTACTTAGCATGGCACGTACGATTAAAGAAACTTCCATACTTTGAAAGCTTCTACTGAAAAACTCACTTTTCAGACTTAGCATACTATTGTTCGGAGGCGTCGATATATAATGTGTATATACACATATAAGATCGGCATAATAATCTAGATATGCCTTTGAATACGAAAATGGGATTTTATGGGCCCTATCCTTTTAGTACCTCCCCCATAAAGGGTCAACATGCTTGAAAACGTGTAAATATCTCGACATGTCAATTGCTAACCCTGTGCGACAACATTTTGGAGGGTGAAAAATTACTATTGGGCACGAAAAACCTTGGGGAGTATATCAAAACCCCAGATGCAAAAATTCTCCATAGGTCAAAGTTCGACTCTTTTATACATGAAGAGATAGCTTCATATCTTGATTTGTAGCTATGGTCTGTATGATTTGAGATTATATTTCTTCAGTTAAATCGAATAAGCAATTCTTTTGAAGAAC